GATGCGCTAAGGCTCTGGAATCCTGAACCTATGCGGGTGGAAGCTATTTTATTCAGGTGTAACAGAGCACGCTCAGGCCGGTGTAGGTCTTGTGGTAGAACCCAAATTGATTGACAGTGAACAGAAGCTTGCCAATAAAAATCCTTCAAAGTTACAACAGGCTAAAATTTTTAACTTGTTACATGTCAATAAGCCCATTTCACAAGGAGAATGAGCCCTTCCTTCAGGAAGTGGAATGTTCTACGAAGTCCCTCAATACAATGCATGATTTCACTGCGCATGGTAGGGCAGACACCGACAAGTGGAAAAGCATGATAGAAGAGAACGGTCCTAGTCACCCCAACAATAATGGCACGAGGTTTTTGCAGTTGAAGTTGTTTGTGCAACCGGTTGTCTGTTACGAATACCTTTTTCGAGCATCGAAGCGCGCATCGCTGTTTCTGGTATAGCGCAACGTATGCACAGAAGTCAGTGATTGATTGAACACGATAATCGTCTCATCCGGCTTAAAACACTTTGCAAGGGATGTTTGCGTTAAGGCGCAGAGTTGTCAGTCGATTATCACCCTCCACTGTAAACGACGGAGTGCCATTTAAACACCCGGTGACAGAAGGAACAAGAGAATTAAATGAAAAACGTTATCTTATACGGATACAAGAGCAGAACCTGCAAACAACATTGTGCGACTGTTTTAACAAATCCCAATAATGCAGAAACCGAATGTAAGTTCTTTAATAGCAGGGGCTACCACCGAAAGCAGTGCTTTAAAACGAGTTGGTCTGCTGCCTGACCGTTAACAAATAACTTCCTGATGGATACCAGACGCTCGACTTGCTGACACTGAAAAGAAAGCAGAATACCTTGTCACATTTACATTTACTAATGAGTGAGGAGAAAAGTTTGAACTACCGACCACTGAAGAACGTCAATGTACACTCACTCTACCAGAGAAAGTGCCTTTGGGTAACGAACAACAGTATGTTGTACGATCTGCATATATACAATATAACATTATAACGAAATCTTAATATTTTCAAACGGTTCATAGCAGCGTCATGTGCTAAATCAATGAAGAAACAGTATTACAGATGTATCAGAGGTCAATTAATAGTTATGTGAGACTATGCAGATAATGTGCAAAGCAAACACAATAGACTATAACGAAACAAGAAATAATGTCATAGATGAAATGGATAGATGAAAATTTAAATTCTAGAGTAATCTTCAGTTTTTCTTTCAGGTGTATCGAAAACGCTAGAAAAGAAGAGAACTTATATTTTATATAATCCCTTTCGTAGGTTTGACGGCATGGATAATTTTCGCTTATTTTTTGTAAAGAAGATGTTATATAAAGCTCATCGTATGCGTAACACCAAAACAAACTGCCTTGTAGCTTTCTTCAAGAAGCAGTTATTCATGGATATTCAATCAATTAAATGTGCGCTACTGATAAACTTAATCGCTATCGTCATTCTCAAAGGTATGGAAACAAACCCTCTTCCGATTGCCCGGCGGAATTTTTTCACCTCTTTCCGCCGTTCCACGGGCGCAGGGATTTCATATAGACAAGTTGGATGGAAGAAAATATTCAGTAAATAATTTAAAATGGGTACACAAATCTGTCAATTTCAATTTATTTCCATGCGGCCCATGGTACTGCTCTTTAGTGCATTGCATATACTTTATAGATTAAGAGACATGCCTTTTAATAAGACTGGACTTTGCACATAGATTTGGATCCATTTCTTTGACTTGAATTCTAAATTACTATTTTATTTATTTGATGAGACTTCTCTCGTTCTGAATGTTTCTTCTGCTGCAGCAGTACTCTAACCTTAAATTAGAGTTGATCATGTAATGTACAGTTAATTTCTGCTATGAAGTAGTCCCAAAATGAATTCCAAACAATCTTAAAGTAATATCCATAAATAGATATATACGATTATAATCCTGACCACAATGGCATATATATTTCCGCCGGCTTTGTCTCAGATTGAAAACTCAGTGTATTGACATAGAGATGCTTTTTAAAAGTTTTCAAGGGAATCTAGTCACTGATTTTAGACTTTAATCATAACTATCGGTTTATCTTAATCAACTTGGCATTACGTTCCGATTAAGTGCCTCTTTTTATGACCATTGATTCATGGCCAATGGCACATAACAGCTCATTTAGGCCCACCTAAGTGACAACGCGTTTTGCTCCAAAACAAAATATTACGATGCAAGTATATTTGTTGTTTTCATTTCTTAGACTTTTTCATTTAACTTGTTCAGTGATTTAGTTCAAGTTAAGGGTGGAGCTTAAAGGCTGTTGAGTTCAGTGAAAGATTCTCCATGATCTAGCAATTCATGGTAGCGATCCAGTTAGAAGCATAGTTAGCCAATGTGCATTTGTTCGCCAGTATTTTAGATAAAGATCTCTGTTTTGGTTCCTATACCTTGGCTATCCTTCGTGCATTTTGAATATCTTACCTGTATGAGCAAGATCACAATGTATAGTGCTGAGTTGGTAAAAAAGACGTACCCGAGTTCAGAAAGTGTAGTTCTACCGTCAAACTAGATATGTAGCAGCAACTAGCCCTGCTGGACTGCTATAGTGATGATTTTTCCTTGCCTGCTATTTATATTCCGGTTTGATTATTTCCGATATCTTTTCCGCAATTTAACTTGCGCGAGCATGACCCTATTGCATAACGTAGACATTTGAAGCATTCATCTTCCATTAAAAAGCTAAACAGGATTGTGAAAAAATTTCAAAACTTTCTCAGGCGTTGTCACAGCAGCTGAACTTCACAACCAGTGCTGGTTCGTTAAAGAAAACATCCCTGGCCAATAAATTCATGCTGAGTATGATTAAATTTGATGGTGGCCAGATGCTACTGAGCCATATACCCTTTAGACATCTGAAGACGCAACAAAAATTATAAGCTGAGAATTCGTTTTGAGGCGGGTTTACGCCACACCGACACGTAAAATTACACAGTAGGAAAATTTTTTCAAAATGCCTCCTCTTTTCATTCTTTGGGGTCACGTTGAGTTGTCCACTAACTTACATGCAACGTATAAATTTACATGTTTGCCCTTCAAAAATTTAGCTTTTATTCCGAATAAAAATATACTAAAACAGTAACAATGACTCAACATCCCCTGAACATGAAATAAGCATCGCACATGAAAAAAACGGGATGCAAAACGACATTATATATCTTTGGTGAAATTCACGAGAGCAGAACAAAAAATGGCAATATGCTTCACCTGCTTACTAGTCACGATTGTAAAAGGCGACGGCTTCGCTTGTCGACGTAGATGCCTTCCCTCAGATTACCGACAACGATTCTATAAATCTTTTGACCCTGATTTCTAATTAAACCGAAAAGCGCGACGATGTACAATTAGCAGCGTCAATAGTCCTCCAATATACAATATAGCATATTACGAGAGGTACAATCCCAATCCTAACAAAAATAGATAATGTATACAATCTGCACAGTATATTTCACACTAGTCTTTGGCGCGCCTTATAGCATACCCGCCAAACTTCAGCTATTCACCAGCCACGGATAATGCATGACAGCGGATTTCCTTCTGTCGCCATAATCGTACAGAAATTCTTCGCCTGCGTTAATGTTTCTGCGAGCAATGAGCACCAGGTAAGGTCTATCTTTGATTTCTATGATTTTCGTTACGCAATTTGGGTCTTTGGCCGAA